AGCATTCCGCCCGGTCACATTATACTGACAAATATGGTGTTGATTAGTGACGCAGGAACATATTTTAAGATTGAAGAGACACATGTCAAATAAAGCCTTTTCCTTAGCTTGGGAAAAGTATGGTCAAATATAGCCCAATCCCAGGCGTCAATACCTAGCTAAGAAAACACATTTCTGTAGAATATATAAAAAGTCATTTATAGGGCATTGTCGTTTAGACGTGGTAGAATAGAAGTAAGTGATACAACAATATCGAATTTCCCAAAGTGATAAAGAGGAATGCTATCCATGAACACCTATATCTGATGTAACACATTCGGACCGCCACCGAACTGCAGATACGGTCGGACCGACTATCACTTTTAGCTGGTTGGCACAAACCAAAGATCATCGTATGATTGTAATGTAAATGAATGACGTTTTTTTTTCTCTCGATTTACTCATTTCTTTTTCAGATAAAACCTGCTTGATGTGTTATTGATCATTAAGCGTTGTATCACCAGCTCCATTAATACTGTTTATCTTGAATGATCAAACACAAACCATATACGTTATCAGGATAGTATGAAGTGCCATACTTTCAACATTCACTTCAATTGAGTTTGCAATGACCATGTAATTTCACCTAAATCATGAATATTGCTGGTAAGTGTTGGTGTTGTATCAACATGTACAAATTAAAACATAAAAAAAACATGAAAGAACTTTTCAACAAGTCCCCGTCACAACTTAAAAGACCATACATTAAATATGCCTTTGTGGCAGAATAAAGTGGCCCAAAACGACTATTTTGTTTCAATGAGTTTTACTTTTTTCTGAGTGGGTTTTAACGTACTAGCGAAAGCCTTGCTTGGCAACAACTCACTTCTGGCTTTAATGTTGAACATTCGCCAAGGTCAGGACGGCAATAGGTTCTGTCCTCAGGTCGGAACTTACCAAAAGTAGTTGTGATCTCCTACTTAACGTTAAGTATTTAGGGTAATGGCAACAACTGGTTAACCCTTTGTCAGTATAATGTGACCGGGTGAAATTCTGAGCTTGGTGCCTTCGGCATGGTATTTCAGTGAGATAGTTCGGATCTGATGACGACTTTATAGTACTACACAAGGAGGCGAATACACCTACAACACACATACACGCATACACAACACACGTGGTGACATGCGCTTAAATGACATTAGCTGTTAATAGATATTTAGACCTGATACAATCAACAAATCAATTAACGTACTAGCAAAACCTAAGGTATATGGTGAAGAGAGGTCGCTTTAGAGACAACAGCACCAAGTAGATAGGAGAGAGGAGATTCGACATACCAACATCTAGGCACGCTTCTTAACATATCGCAGCCTCCCAAAATACACACACATACACGCATGCATTTTGCACACAAGGGAGGCCGTCCTTAAATGACCTTAGCTGTTAATAGGACTTTAAACAAAATCAAACAAACAAACAAACAAATCTTAACATAATCAAAAACAACAACCAAATAACAAGCATATTTCCCAGTGATATCATGATAGCGCTCCTAGTCGTCATCAACCTGTATTTCTCGAAACTATGTGTTGTAGTTTGATATTCGAAGAAACTCTTGAATTCCAACACAAATGTGTCATTTTAACACCGTCGGTAAGGTAGGCATAGATGAAAATACCAAGAAAGATAACGTTATGACCTAAAAATTGAAATCGCCACCATTATTGTACAGCTTAATACAGCCTGAAAAGTCTGAACTGTCATTTATTATAATCTTAGGAGAATACAGACAATCAAAATGGTCAATACATTTATATTCTTTAACAGCACATCGTCCATATATCCTAGAAGTGAATTGACGGATTTGGCAAGGATTTTGGTGCTAGATCAGATAAGCTTAATAAAATTAGTCCTGGATGAAAACAACTATAACAACCTGACCAGAAAGATATCCTTGTTTACAAATTCAAGTAAACTGATACTGTGTTTTCTAAAATGCTTAAATCTGTTCTGTTTATGTTCCGACGTGTAAAAGGCCTGATATATTAACATTCCAATGTAACGCTGTCCTTGGTATTGAAGTTACACACAATAGTGCACGTTCATTAACAAATGGAGTCACAATACACATTCATCTATCCATATAAAAAAAACAAATATTGGCTTCTTGTTCAAAGAAGCCTCGACGCTAGCTCATATACATACACATGTACTGGTACTTTTTTATCGTTATTTCATTATAATACAGTATACATACTCATGCAACACACATATCATTTCCTTCTGGAAGGATGTCGACTGCCTACACGAATTCGTTCCAAGCGATTGTTCCTATGCTATTTGGTCACGACAAACCATTTAGGCAGAAAAAGTGTCCACGTCACAATGTTAAGTTAATCTACATTGAAATGCATCACGACGAAAGTAATAACATAGAAAACGCTTCTTATTGACTTTGATCAGGTGAGAAAGCATTCATGGGAGTCTTACTTCGAAACATGAGTGACATAAACAATCTGAAAAAACGCAATACACATATTCGTGCATGCTAACAATTAACTTAAATTGCCAATGTCTTTATTCATTTTTGATATTTAAAAATAAAATAAAAAATAGCCCGATGATAGCTATGTCAAGACTTACAAAAATACTCTGACGTTGTTTTGATATGCTATTGAAAATCAATAGTCAATAGCAGAGCAGAACATTGGCGTGAAGCAAAACCATTGTCTGACATAAACGCCGCCAATAAATACTCAAATGAAAATTTAAAACATTAAATGCCATTTCCTAGATGATTAATATATGTATAGCATGCGTTGATGGTTATCCAAAGCTGAAACTTGATGCGACCAAATAAATCGACATCAATCATATCTTTTATTTATAAATTCCAAATATACTTATTTTTAACGTCTATGTAAAGTTTCTAATCATATACGCTTAATCACGAAATTTCTGTCACATGATTTGTCACGTGATCTAAATAATAGTTCGTCTGAACACGTGTCAATGATTTACCTAATAGATTTGTTGAGATATATGACAAGTTACATGATGTCACTACTTACTGTCGTATTAATGGTTTTTAAACAAATGTACGTCTGACAATATTCACGAAACCATTGTCATGTGACTTCATGAGAGGTTTCTCTTTGGACGTGGTGTTTCGGTAGACAAAGACGCCATGCCAATAGGTATGGCGCCGGTAAATAGAAAGTGCTTTGCCTCTGTACCAAACGGCCAGGGGTCGTCACTATCTTAATTGATTTTCGGAACATTTCCTTAGCAACAATGTTTTAATCGCAACGAGTGTTACGCGATTTATTGAAGGATTCACATAAATTTATGTCACTTTAAACACGTAACTTCTTTTTCTCTTACTGGTGACACCTAAAATATGATTTATCTAGATAACCTCCATACTATTTGTAAAGTGCAATATGTAAAATCACTGTTAAGGACGCAGGACACTGCAAAATACGCAAGTTTCATTTTCGTTTGGTTCGAAGGAAAGTTCCAAAATTGTGTTATGGACAATTAGTAAGGACTATAAATTGAAACACTGACAAAACAATTATCTAATACATATACATATATGTATGTACAATGTAGTTAATATACAATTTTAATGGATTCTTCTGACAAAGATCATTAAATGACCCGAGTTAGGACGCCAAAGATATGTTTACTTAGGTTATAGTGTTCAAACTTACGCCGTAACTGTTAATCCCTATTAGAGAAGGCGTTCACCCAGGACACATGTTATACTCATGCGAGACCATGCCTACGTCATTCATGCGACGAACATAAGACTGTTTCTTTACATATTGATTGGTTTTAAAATGATTTGTGAACAAAAGTATGACGTGCCTGATAAGAAAACACTGTTCCATACCTTTAATGTATCGACAATTTCGAATATTAGTGCAGGTCAATTGACTAGTTGAAAAACTAATAACGCAATCTTGAACTGCTGAGGAAGTTTCAGTCACGCATAATTGTTTTTTGTTGCCTCTTGCGATCATACTTTTGTTATTCTTTTTAATGTCATCTTAAAACTGTAGTTAGGCCAAAGAAGCAACATTGCTGTCCAATACTGTTCAAAACATCTAGCTTTAAGCTTGGTCAAAGACATATTTTAATACGGTATTGACATGTTTCCGAGTCTTTGTTGAAAGAAAGTAAAAACATCTACATTAAGGTTTACAATCTAGTTGTGCCTCATAAAATGTTCATCTCTTAAGGGAAACAAGAATTGAAATTTAATTTAGTGAAAAGTAATTCAGAACTTAAATGCACAACAATGTTGTTTTCAGTGGAATTATTTTTAAATTAAAAAGGAAGAAACTTAATATATTAGTCGCAATATATTGACCTTCAACCAATCTTTCATACAAATACAAATCAAATTTAAATAAAAGGTTTCATTTCAAATTATATCTTAATAAAAGTTTTAGCTACTTGTTTTAACTTGTAAAAAAGAAAGACCATCATGTATTGCACTTAAATAAGTACGAAACTACATGTATATCTTATTCGATGCTTAATATGTTAATTTTGGCTATTTTATTGTACCAACATAGAATGAGTAACGGTTATTTTCCGTTTTCCCCCTGTTATGTCTTAGACATATAGATTCTATGAAATTATCTATTGTACCTAATCTAAATGAGTAACGGATATTTCCCGTTTTCTCCCCGTTATGTCTACCATACAGTTTCTTTATGACAGTATTGTTTGACATCCAAATTAGTAACGGTATTTTCTTTCTTTCCCTCCTTTTTAATTTGTATTAAAAAATATTAGTTTACAATTTTATCATTTGATCTCAAATAACGTGAACTCTTGATTTCTTCTTTGTTATTGTATTAGGAGTGTAATTAATATATATAATCAATATAATAATTGCAATTTTACATTTATTTTTCTCACGCATTATTTGCTTTTTGTTATTAATTTTTGTTTTAAGAAAAATAATTGAAATATATTTTACATTCGTTCTTTCCTTTTCTTTTCAGGTGCCTTGTGCGGTGACTTTTGCCACATCCCTACGTTGTTTTTCAAGATTATATTCTGGCTTGGATATTGTAATTCTATGATCAACCCAATTATCTACTCATGTTCAAGCCGTGAATTTCAACGAGCTTTTCGGCGCATCTTGCGATGCAAAGTTCATAGAAATCCAAGGTTATTTTACAAATCTAAGTCAAGAAGTACATCGATATCTGACCTAAATTCTTCCAATCAACTTTCAGTCAAAAAATCGCCTAATATTCTTTATAGGTCGGAATTTACCCGACGTTCAATGAGACCAATGTGTAATCAGCACGTAGCGATGGATAAAGGACGTCTTAAAGATTCACAGTGTTATTCAAAGGATTTGTATTCAGCGGAACCTGGAAATGGCAAATTATCACCCAGTATGAAACACCTAAGATTCTGTGAAAGCTGTGATAGTGAGAACCTTTCTTTAAGTGATGACCAGATGGAGGCTTTGAAGGAGGAATGCCTTCAGCATTTACGGTGACAGTGTATTTACGTAATACGATGCCAACAACAGAAAATTGCAATGTCGGCGAAAAGAGAAATTGTTCAATAAATATATATTCAGAAAAAAAAGTTTCGTGAGTTTCATGAGGAAGCTCGAGGATGACACTTCGCTATATTTTGCATAAGTTTGATTGGTCTTTAACTTTTGCTGACGGAACGGTTATACATGTCCAAAATGGAGGTCGTTGATGGCTTCTTGTGTGATGTCAGAAAATGTAGCCGGTGGTTGTGTGTGCTTTTATCTATTCGATAGTATTTAAATGAAACCTCATAGTACATTTAAAACGAAGTTACGTATATATTTGTTTTTAATCGAACCCTGTGTTCCATTTGCTAACATTTCATTTCTTCACACTTGGTAGTGAAATGGAAGGATAACGGCAACACCGTATACACCGTTAGACGTTTCCAACATTAGAATGACGACAAAGAGTTTCGTATAGCTTAACCTTACCACTTTCATTATCTTATTCTATTTTATCTCTATGTTTAATTGTTATTTTGTCCATGTTAAGGTAACGTTCAAGTGATGATGCTCCACGTGTATGTACACACAAACATTCCGTTGAAATGTCATTTTTTAAACGTCGCTTTTTAGGTCACCTGAGACAAAGTCTCAAGTGACCTATTGCGATCGCCTTTTGTCCGTCGTCGTCCGTCGTCCGTCGTGCGTCCGTAAACAATTTACATTTTCGACTTCTTCTCCAAAACCCCTGAACCAATTTCAATGAAATTTTGCAGGGACCTTCCATGGACAAAGGTCAACAAAAATAGTTGCCGGTTTAGTCCTAAGCCCCCAGGGGCCTGAGGGGCGGGTCCAAAAAAGGGTCAAATTGACTAAATTTCAAAAATCTTCTTCTCCAAAACCCCTGAACCAATTTCAATGAAATTTTGCAGGGACCTTCCATG